CACATTTTACATTTACGTCCATGATACATTTTTGAATTAATTTTTGTGTAAGTTGTGAGCCTTGGGTTGCAGTTTATTTTTGCCTATAGATGTCTAATTGCTCAAGCACTAATTTTTGAAAAGGCTAGCTTTCCTTCCTAGAATGGCTTTTGCACTTTTGTGAAAAATCGTTTGAGCATACAGTAGGTCCTCGGGTTACATTGGAGATCTGTTCCTATGGCGTGACAGAACGTGATTTTCACCATAAGTGGGAACTCACCTACATAAGCAACTACGTCACTCACATGGAGCACATACACAGCAGTAATGAAGTGAAACAGTAAAAAAAATTTAAAAGAAAGATAACAATTCCTGACCTTTACTTGTAGTAAATAAATAATAAAAAACATAAAGCACATATGTACATATATCAAAATGAAGGAACTTTTTTTTTTTTTAATAAATTAGAGGCCCGGTGCACAAAAATTTGTGCACTTGGGGGGGGGAGGGGAGGGTCCCTCAGCCCGGCCTGTGCCCTCTCGCAGTCTGGGAGCCCTCGGGAGATAACAACCTGCTGGCTTAGGCCTGCTCCCGGGTGGCAGAGGGCAGGCCCAATCCCTGGGTGCAGCCCCTGGTCGGGCTCAGAGCAGGGCTGATTGGGGAGTTGGGGCACCGCCCCCTGTCATGCACAGAGCAGGGCGGATCGGGAGGTTGCGATGCCACCCTCAGTCACGCTCAGGGTAGGGACGATTGGGAGGTTGGGCACCACCCCCTGTCACACTCAAGTCAGGGTCGATGGGGAGGTTGCGGCCCCACCACCTGTCACGCACAGAGCAGGGCCGATCAGGGGGCTGAGGAGCTCCCCCCTGTCACTCACAGAGTAGGGCTGATAGGGGAGTTGGGGCACCACCCCCTGTCACACACAGAGCAGGGCGGATCAGGGGGTTGGGGCGCCGCACCCTGTCACACTCAGAGCAGGGCCAATGGGGAGGTTATGGCTCTACCCCATCACACACAGAGCAGGGCCCAAGGGGGCGGTTGGGGCATCGCCCTCTATCACCCACAGAGCAGGGCCAATCAGGGGGTTGAGGCGCCGCACCCGGTCACACACAGAGCCACAGGGCGATCAGGGGGTTGGGGAGCTCCCCCTATCAGGCACAGAGCAGGGCTGATCAGGGGGTTGGGGCGCCTTCCCCTGTCACAAACAGAGCAGGGCGGATAGGAAGGTTGTGGCCCCACCCCCTGTCACACACAGAGCCGCAGGGTGATCAGGGTGTTTGGGCGCTGCCCCCTGTCACACTGATCCTGGTGCCGGGAGGCCTCGCGGCTCCGCTGATCCCGGTGCTGGGAGGCATATTACCCTTTTACTATATAGGATAGAGGCCTGGTGCATGGCTGGGGGCCGGCTGGTTTGCCCTGAAGGGTGTCCTGGATCAGGGTGGGGGTCCCCACTGGGGTGCCTGGCCAGCCTGGATGAGGGGCTGATGGCTGTTTGCAACTGGTCACACACCCTTCAGGGTGGGGGTCCCCATTGGGGTGCCTGGCCAGTCTGGGTGAGGGGCTAAGGGCTGTTTTCAGGCTGGCGGGTGACTGAAGCTCCCAACCGCTCCTTTTTTTCTTTCTTTCTTTTTTATTCTGGGCCAGCTTTAGCTCTGAGGCTTGGCTCCAGCTCTTAGGCCTCTGCTGCTGAAAGCAGGTATCTGGTTTGTTTGGGTTCTATAATCAAAACACTGTTTCAACTCCAGCTCTGAGATCCTGGCTGGCTGAAAGTAGGTTTCTGGGGTTTTGTTTAGCTTCTATATTTGTAACAGTGTTTCAAACTGCAAGCTCAGAGGCTGGCAGCGGCAGGCGGGGAACATTGGCTTCCTTCATCACTGAAGCGAGCAAGCCTCATGTTCACTTCAAGATGCCTGGCTGCCGGCTGCCATCTTGGCTGGCAGTTAATTTGCATATCACCCTGATTAGCCAATGGGAAGAGTAGCAGATGTACGGCTAATTACCATGTTTCTCTTTTATTAGATAGGATAGGAGATGGCGACGTAACCACGAAACGATGTATGTCAAGTCCGATGTTACTCGAGGACTGTCTGTATTTGTGTGGGTCTATTTCCAGGCTCCCTGTTATATTTTGTTAATCCATGTTTATATTCTACTAATATTACACAGTCTTAATTACTTAATAAGTCTTAAAATTGGTCAGGCTAATTCCTCCCACTTTATTCTATTTTTTACCAGTTGCTTTAGACATGTTCATTTCTTTACCTTTCTATATAGATTTTGGAACTCATCTGTGTCTACAAAAAATTTTGCTGGGATTTTGATAGGGCTTTAATTTTAAACTTAAATGTCAGTTTGGTCTTCACCGACAGTGGGAGTGCAGTGGTGCTTCATTACTGGTTTGTTGGTTGGATTGAAAGTCCAAGGTCCCTACTGGGCCTTCTGCTTCTATTCTGATGAGGTATATTGGGGTGCCTCATTATATCCTCATAAGGAAGACGTCAGGGCTCCCCACTTTGCCTTTGTGGCTTGTCTGGAGGTGGGATCATAGTTTTGTAGGTTTCTTCTTTTTTTTTTTTTTGGCAGAATGGTTATTGTCTAAAAGTTTTCTGCCTTGCTGGGCTGCCCCTTTTCTGGTTGTTTGACAAGAAAACAGACTTTTGTTGTTTTTTTTTATTTTCTATGTTTGCTGGCACTTCTGGGTTGCTGGCTTCTTTAACTCCGTGTCTGGGAATGGGAGGCAAGCTCCTGCCCCCGCCCCACGCCCCTAAGGAATTCACCATTTGGATTCCAAGGTTCCTAACCTGTCTTCCTTTTTCCCTCCACCTTTCAAAGTCTTCTTAAGTTTATTTTATGTATAATGTCCAGAGTTTTAATTGTACTTAGCAGGAGAAATAGGAAAAAGAATGTCTACTCTTATCTTCCTGGAAGCTGTGTCCACATTTTCTTTTCTTGATAACAAAAATTTTGAACATTCAGGAAAGTAGAATAGGAAATGAACACCAACATATCTAGTTTCTAGATTTAAGAGTTGTAAATGTTTCCCATATGTCTTTATCTAATTTTTTTGTTTTAGTAAATTATAGACATAATGCATTTCACCTCCAAACATTCAATATGCATCTCCAAAAATACAAGATTTTGAATAATATATATAATGTAATACAAATAATAAATATAAGTTCAGTATAAAAAATAAAGATTTTTAAACATAAGGACAGTACTTTATATTTAATGATTTATAGCAGTGATTTGAATTGGTGTGCTGCAAGAAGTTTTAAAGCATGCAAAACCAACCCTGGCTAGTATGGCTCAGTTGGTTGGGTATCATCCCATGAGACAGCCAATGCAATGATAGCCATTTGTTATGAATTCCCTGTCTTGAACCATAAATATGTAGGTCATATAATAGAGTTGCATCTTATTGGTCATGTCCCATAATAAGTTTATGTCTGATTGGTTAATTCTTGATACCAGTAATCCTTATATACAAGTATAGGCATCTGATTTTTAAAAAAGTAACTTTGGAACAAAAAGGATAGGTAATTACTATTATATTATTACTAAAGGCCTGGCGCACGAAAATTGTGCACTCCGGGGGGTGTGGGGTGGGTCCCTCAGCCCGCCTGCACCCTCTCACAGTCCAGGAGCCCTCAGTCGGACATCCTTAGCACTGCCTCGGAGGCGGGAGAGGCTCCCACCACTGCTGCTGCGCTCACCAGCTGTGAGCTCGGCTTCTGGCTGAGCTCTGCTCCCCCTGTGGGAGCACACTGACCACCCAGGGGCAGCTCCTGCATTGAGCATCTGCCCCCTGGTGGTCAGTGTGTGTCATATCGACCGGTCATTCTGTTCGGTCGATTTGCATATTAGAGTTTTATTATATAGGACTGGAGGCTCGGTGCATGAATTCATGCATGGGTGGGGTCCCTCTGGGTGGCCTGCAGGGATTGGGCCAAAAGCTGCAGTCCAATGCCACCTGCAGCTCCTACCTGCCGCTACTGCTCATCCCGGCCCCACTGTGCCTGCCGCACCCAATCAGTCCAGATTGGGAAAGGCTTGTACTGCCACAGCAGCGCTCTCCAGCCATGAGCCCTGCATCTGGTGCCCTCCCAAAGGGAGTGGCCTATGGGATCTGGCTGAAACTGGCTCTCCGAGAAACCCCGAGGAGTTCCGGATTGTGAGAGGGCGCAGGGCCAGGCTGAGGGACCCCACGGGTGCATGATCAGGCAGGGGAGGGGCCGCGGGAGGGGTCCAGGGCGTGTCTGGCCCATCTCGCTCAGTCCTGATCGACTGGACCCCAGCAGCAAGCTAACCTACCAGTTGGAGCATCTGCCCCCTGGTGGTCAGTGCATGTCATAGCGACTGTCTGCCCCCTGGTGGTCGGTGCACGTCATAGTGAGCGGTTGAGCAGCCTTAGCATATCATTAGCATATTTAACACTTTGGTTGTTAGGTTGTTCTGCTGTTCATTCTACTTGCATAATACCCTTTTATTATATAGGATTATTTTTGTAAATAAAGTTATACCTATTTTTGTCAGATCAAGAATTTTGCAATTAGTTTATATGTGCCATGAGATTAAAAAGGTTGAAAATCACTGATTTATAGCACTATCCTAATATCTGATGCCTAGTTCATACTCTGATTTCTCAGTTGTTCCCCAAATGTCTTCCAGCTGGTTGGACAAAGTAATATCTAAACAAGAACATGAATTGCATTTAGTTGTTGCGCTTTTAAGTCTCCTTTGATCTTTAACAGTTCCTCTCCTGCTTTTTTCCTCCATGATACTGATTTGTTGAAGACATAGTTCCATTTGAATTTTGGAATGTCCCACTATCAGTAGGATTGGTCTGATTGTTTCCTTGTGTTTCTTTATCTTTGCATTTTCTGTAAACATGAAGTTAAATCTAAAGGCTTTATTGGATTCAAATTCAGCAAGGATATTTTATAGGTGATGCTATGTTAAGCAGATTTTCTGGGGGACTCATAAGTTTGTATCATTTATAACTTTTTTACATGATGAAGAAGATGCCTTCTGCATCCTGTGATACACTACTGGATGACATAGAAGATATTGTGTCACAGCAAGACTCAAAGCCACAAGATAGGCATTTTTCAAGAAAGCACATTGTTCCAAAGGCCCGAAGGCGAAATACCCAAAAATGTTTGCAAGAGGAAGATAGTCCACCAAGTGATAGGTAAGCTTTTTTTAAATCAACATCATTCTAGGATAGTACTGGTTTATGTGATATGCATAATGTCTCTTTTAAAAATATGCTTGAACTTTTTAGAGGAAATATATAGATTTATTTATTTTTATTTGAATTAAAAAAATATTTTTATTGCTTTCAGAGAGGAAGGGAGAGGGAGAGAGAGATAGAAACATCAATGATGAGAGAGAATCATTGACCAGCTGCCTCCTGCACACCCCTGCTGGGGATCAAGACCACAACCCGGGCATATGCACATGACCGAATCAAACCTGGGACCCTTCCATCTGGCCAGGGCAGAATGTTTTTTAATTTAGCAAAGTAATTGGTTTCGAAAAAAGGTGTCAAATTGCATGTTCCTTGAAGGCAGGGCCTAGGAAAGTGTTTGGCATATAGATAGGATCTTCTTCCCATCTCTTTGATGTTACTGTATCTGGTATGCACTTTTGTGTTACTTCCAAATTAAAATTTTTACTGGAATTTGTGGCTCTTATGAGACAGTGGTGTTTGTACATTTGATTTTTCTTAGCAAATTTACAAATATTAATAGTTCAGGTAAAGGCATTAGGCACAAATGAATTATTGTGCTGTTTACTTTATTAGGTCTCTAGTGAAATTCTAATACAGTCTAGCCAGAAATGATTATGCAGTTGTATAGTTTTAATATCCCTATATTTATTTAGTAAATTGTTGGAAGTTTTAATATACTTGATTATTTTGTTTGGAACATTACACTTTAAAAATCTATGGAGTTAAAATTTTCTGTTATTATAAAAATGACTGAAGTTTATCATATTTGTCCTGAATATGTCCTTAAGGTAATTTCTGTTTAATTATAAATTACTGGGTAATCCAATTTGAAAGTCCCCTTTCCCCCCTAAAACTATTTCATTTTTGAACTCTATTTTTATATAAGAAGTACTTTTAATGAATAGCTTGTGAATGTGTTTCAGTGAGTGTATTTTTTCTTCTTCATAATATGCCCAGAAATCCTCTAGTGCTTTTTATTTTAAAAATCCTTTAATGAGACTTACCTTTTCTTTTATTGATTGTTTAATAGCACTATTCCAGGCATACAGAAAATTTGGATACGAACATGGGGTTGTTCTCATAATAATTCAGATGGAGAATATATGGCTGGACAACTAGCTGCTTATGGATATAAAATTACAGGTAATGAGATCTGTGTAATGTATTTTGTTGATTACATTTTTCAGAGCTAAGTTTTTTAGAATTATGTATTCTAGCTTTAGCAGTTGAGGGATATGTTAGCATAACTTAATGATTTTAAGGCAAAATAAAAAGATAACCCATTGCCTACATAACTATAGGTTTCATATTAAAAAAGAACTTTAGGAACTATTTTGAAATAAGTTTAGACTTACAGAGTAGTAGTAAAAGTATAGAGTTTGCATAGCCCTTCACCCATCTTCCCCTAATATTAATATTTTATGTAATTATAGTATAATTAATAAATTAACATTAGTACAATACTGTTATCTAAACTACGGATCTGTTTTGAATTTTACCGCTTTTTCCATTTATGTCCTTTTTCTCTTCCAGGATCCAATCTAGGATCTCATCTTCCATTTATTTGTTATGTCTTTTCAGTCTCCTCTAATCTGTGACAGTTCCTCATTTTCTTCTTCTCTGTTATGATCTTGAACTGCTGAAGAAAACTGATTAGTTGTTTTGTAGGATATCTCTCAACTTAGGTTTGTCTGATGTTTTCTCATGGTTAGAATAAGGTTATGTATGCATTTTTTGGCCAGAAGAGTACAGAAGTGATAGTATATCCTTCTCAGTGCATCATATCAGGGGGTTCATAATGTCAGTATATCTTATTACTAGGTAACTAACCCTTGTCTGCCAGATTTCTCCACAGTAAAGTTAGTATTTTTCTCATTGTAATGAATAAATATCCTGTTTCTCCTCAACCTTTTCTAATTCTATTATTTCTCTGTGGATCTTATCTATAACAGTTATTAGTGCATTATTTACTTAATGGTGATTTTCTGTTTTTTTCTTTTATCCACATTTATTAATTGGAATTCTTGTGTAAGGAAGAGCTATCCTTTCTCATTTACTTATATCAGTATGTCCTCATGGATAGTTTTTTATTCTGTGAGATGTAGTTTGGTATCACCATTATTTATTTTGCTGCTCATTGTTCCAACTTTGGCCGTAGGACCTCGTTCAGGCTGACTCCTGGTCTTCTCAACATGCCCCCCATTCTTTATTGAGCATTTTCTTCTTTTCTGACACCTGAAGATATCCTAGTTTCATATTTTCCCTTCCCCAGCCTTGGAAACAACCACTTTCCCCCAAAGCCCTGAACGCTTTCATTAGGAGAATGGTGTTTAGAAGTAGATTGAAGATCTGGACACTATGTGTGCTCATTGCCACTGTGCTTTTAGGTCCTCTCCTGTGGACTGTATGTGTGTGTGTGTGTGTATGTGTATATATATGTCACATACACACATCTATATCTGTTACTGTATTAAATGGCACCATAATTTGAATGTGACAGGCAGTGACCCAGTGCTTGCTTAGTTCTCATGATATGAGGACATATTGGCATCCTTACTTTACAAGTGAGAATGGAGAGGTTGTGTCTTATCTTAAATCATACAGGAAATGAATTCTCTGTCACTCTAAGACACTGCTCTTAACCATTGTTCTACACCTCGAAGTTGCCTTTGCATATATAATGGGCAAGTCCTAGCTTCGAGATAGCATGTGAGAATTGGGGAGGACTGGAAACTTGCTTCTTTCACAGTATTGTTTTTTTTCACTAACTAAATGACCATATGTTATTAACTTTATGTTTTTGATAGCTTATTCTTTATTTTCTTTTAAAAGATTGATTTTAGAGAGGAAGGAAGAAGGAGAGAGAGAGAGAAACATCAATGATGAGATAATCATCGATCGGCTGCCTACTGCATGCCCCCTACTGAGGATCAAACTCTCAACCCCGGGCATGTGCCCTGACTGGGAATCGAACCATGACCTCCTGGTTCATAGATCGACACTCAACCACTGAGCTATGCCAGTTGGGCTGATAGCTTATTCCTTAGACAGCAAAATTGGTCTTTAAAAATTAAAAAAAGAATTATTGATTTGAGAGAGAGAGAGAGAGAGAGAGAGAGAGAGAGAGAGAGAGAGAGAAACATTGATTTGTTGTTCCACTTATTTATGCATGCGTTGGTTGATTCATGTATGTGCCCTGACCGGGGATTGAATCTACAACCTTGGCATATTGGATGATGCTCTAACCAACAGAGCTACCTGGCCAGGGCACAAAATTGGTCTTAATAATTTTGTTTTTTTAAGATAAAATACTCAAAATATGGTTTTAGAATCACTTCTGTATTCATTAATAATTTTTAGTACAATTTAGGCTGGGCTTGCCTTAACACATTCTTAAGGATGCTAGTTGGAGTATTAAGAAAATAACCTTTGAAATAATTCCCTAAACATTAAAAAATTCTTAGTTTGACTTTTCCTAGGTAATATTAATTATCCAACACTTTACTTTAAATTTTAATGCATTAGCAGTTTGTGTTTGGTTTTATAACTCTACTCTTTTTTTTTTACAGTTTTTATAAAGGTCTATTTCATTATTGATGGGTAGCACATTTAACAGTTAAATACATTAAATAATGTACAGGTGACTGCAGGACTGCTGCATTGGTAACTAGATAAACAATTCAACTAGAAACCAGCTACTAAGTAACTGTCTACTTACATATTTAAAACATAGCTCTTGTTTAGCTCATCCTGTTTTAATCACCTTCTTGGAGGGAAAAAAGCCTGCTGGTCACACTGGAAATATATTTAGGCCAAATCTTTTGATATCCATTCCCAGAGATTGCTTTCAGCTGGATTAAGTCTCCAACTCCAGGGCAAGCCCCAGTTTGTGGCCACCAGAATTAATGCTCTTCCCATCTACCAGAGCAGACAGTATAAGCTTCACACCAGGCCTCAGAGTCTGAGTGTAGCCCACTCCAATTAAACTAGAGTTGTTGGCTTTTGCAGAAATGGAAGCAGTGGGATCCAACTGATACTTAGCTGCAATACCAAAGCAAGTGCTGTTGGTACCTGAAGTCCAAGCAAGGTTTACTGAAGTGTCAAGATCTTCACATCCTTTCTGATAAACTGAGCCTCCAAATTCTGTCCAATCATTGACATCAGTGTGTAGCTGGAAGTCCCCAGTCCTATAGCCCACTGCAAAGTTATTCCATGTCAGCTTTGATTTGGCACTGTCCAAGGTCGTCTGGCATCCAGCAAGCCAGCCCTCATAACCAAAGACAGCTGAACCATGGATTGCAGGTCCAGCAAAATCAAAGTCAATACCACATCCAAGGTTCATCCATTCCCTCTTGTAAAAAGACTTGATTTTACCACTTTTCTTTCCTGTGTTTGGTGAAAAGGTGTTATCAAGTGTCATTTTCAAACCTTGACAGATCGGGTCTTCAATTGCGATTTCTGTTCCCAGAGTATTATCAGTGTTCCATTTCTCTGTGAAAGTCACCATACTCACACCATTTATATTTGGTCTCTAAGGTCCCAGCAACTTTACCAGTGTCTGTATTAGATGAACCAGATGTTGAGAATTCCACACCACTGCATGACTTTGTTTTCACATCCAGTTTCACCAACCCAAGGCCAAATCCTTTGTTGAAAATATCTCTGGCAGCTTTGCTGAGGTGGGCATGTGATGGAGGAATACACGTCGGCTGTGCGCAGCTCTCTCCGTAGCTCACCATGGTGAGGTTGCGGGAGGAGGTGGTCTGTTGATCTCCTGGGGGGGCTGTGCCGCCACTCCGTTTGCAGCTGCTCGACTCGCTCGGCGTCAAGCTGTGGCTGCTGTGGTGGAGGGTGAAGTGAAGGAGACACTGTTCCGCCCTCTGCAACCCTAACTCTACTCTTTTATATGAAATTAGAGGCCTGGTCCATGAATTCGTGCACCAGTGTGGACCCTTGGCTTGGCCTGTGGGATCGGGCTGAAACCGGCTCTCCGACATCCCCCGAGGGGTCTCAGATTGTGAGAGGGCGCAGGCCAGGTTAAGGGACCCCACTGGTGCACAATCAGGGCTGGGGAGGTACGCGGGGAGGTTGGTTGGACAGCCGGGGAGGGACCGCGGGAGGGCTGCAAGGCATGTCCAGCCCATCATGCTCAGTCCTGATCGGCTGAACCCCAGCAGCAAGCTAACCTACCAGTGGGAGCCTCTGCCCCCTGGTGGTCAGTGCATGTTATAGCAAGCGGTTGAGCAGCCTTAGCATATTATTAGCATATTACACTTTGCGCACAGGGATAAAGGGAGAGATAGCATATTACACTTTGATTGGTTGAACCGGCAATCGACAACTGGACACTAAGCATATTAGGCTTTTATTATATGGGATAACAGTCCAAATGTGTTTGCACAAGAATATTAAGCTTTGTTATGTACACCTAATTTTGGCTTCCTATTTAGGAATAGTAGAAAGGGAGAATTAAGGAAGCACTCACTTGAATATAAAATTATTGTTTCTTATTAATGTAGTATATTACTTTTATATACTTGCATTACTTCTATATATATGTGTTAGTTTTGTATGCTGTTGATTGTCCCCACTTATTTTTAATTCATTTTTAATATTTCTATTTATTTCAGAGAGGAAGGGGAGAGAGAGAGAGAGAGAGAGAGAGAGAGAGAGAGAGAGAGAGAAACATCAACGATGATAGAGAATCATTGATTGGCTGCCTCCTGCATGCCTCACACTGGGGATTGAGCCTACAACCTGGGCATGTGCCCTGACCAGGAATCGAACCAGAACCTCCTGGTTCACTGGTCGACACTGGACAAGTCGCCCAGTTGGGCGATTGTCCCCACTTTAGAAATGCATAGTCAATTTTTAATTCTAGTCTGGATTGCATTCAGTAGAACATAGGACCACTTTTCTAACTTGTCTAAGTGCTGTAGGCCCAGGAAATATGAACAATATTAGCTCTGTAAAACATTTAAGAAGGAAATCTCTACTGATTTTATATTTAGATTGAGAATAGGATTTCTGGATTACCTATGCCAGTAGTCTCTTTCATTAGTGTAGAATAATGGGAATTAATGAACATTTTATTGCTTAATAACTTATATTGTTTTATTAAACAATTGTAAAACTAAAATATT